GCTGACTTTCACAGCTATATTATAAGAGCGCAATTTCTTTCGCTTCTTTATTCTCCTCTAACTCAAATAAAAGAGCTACCTTTATTACAAGATAACGAAATCACAGATGACATTGTAAAAATTGCGCTTTTGCAATATTATTGAAATTAACAAGAATGCTCTTTGCGCTTTCTTCTCGACACATTCTTGAATAAATATAGCAATGAAATTAGTACCGTACGATTCCCAGATGATTGATGTCGGTCCGTACGACACCACTAAAAGCATTTCCGTGCGCGAAGGGGATGTTTTATTTATACGGGATCACCGGAAGGAATAATTAGCGGCACAAAAATAGTTTCGCAATTCCGCGCCTTACATCGGCGTGAACCTTGTCTCAGGCCTCATCAAAGACCCGACGTTTGTCACCGAGGTCGTCGTCGTTGTCGTCGCTGTCGGACGTCATTCGGCCGATTTTATTTCCGTCGCTTCGAAACGGAAGGGTTTCGAAAGCCCGTGATTTGCCGACCACGCCTGCAACATTAGACCAAGTGACGGAGTGCGAAATGCACTCTGAAATCTCAAAAATCTATTTTTTGCCGGCGACGCCCACGCCTTATTTCCCGGCTGATATCCCGCGCGTGCAATGCCGCGTATTTTTATCCGTGGCCCACATCCCCGAGGAGAAGCTGCTTCATTACAATTCGGTTTCTCGCGTAATCGAATAGAAAAAGGAGGAAAAAAACGGGGAAGGTAAGCCGGAGACGCGAGAAAAGACGGAACCCCCGTTCCTCGTCCACGGCGAAGTCCGTAAAGCCATTTCGAGCGTTAGTCGCGCGAGATCGTCCTAGTAAATTATTTTTTATAGCGTGTATCGTAACTCTCCGCTCGCGCCGTGTTTCCTATATAAAACGGGATTTATCGCGGCGATAAAAGTGACTATTCCGCCGGACGTCGGACGTCGCGTCCGCATTAACGCTTCCCGAAATGAATTAGGAACACGCGATTTGGGGTCATGTCAGTTCGTCGGACGGGACCGTTGAGCGGAGTGGTGATGTAAATCTGTAATAGTCGGTCATAAATTTTAAAAGACACAATGAAATGTAATTTAGGAGACATAATTAGGACGTAAACTGTTTTGACGTGATGGATATTTAAAGTGTTTCTTCATACAACGTTTAGTTAATTGATGGATTCGAACGCACAAACAGATTGCGATATAAGAAAATATTATATGCGCATAAAATAAGAATAAATCTAATTCAACATTATTTTTTAACAATATATTTTGATTTCATAAGTAACAGTATTTTTTACCTTTTATTTTTATTGAAAAGCCTCGAGTTTTCCGGTGAATCGGTGAGCTCAGGAAATCACTGAGCTCTTATTACGCCAGTTGATGACCTCGCGGTTATCGAGCCGGTAATTTCTTTTTCTCTTTACCACCGAGGGCAGCAGGAAATGCTTGACTTGCGACCTTAAGACCCCATCGCCGATTACGAGCGGTAAAAGTGGCGGGCGCACACGGAACACTTTCTACAATTAATTATGGTACACGGGCGCGATCCGCCTATTCCCCCCGACGGTCCTTAATTCGTCGCTACGAATTGATTATGAAGCGCCGTCGTCCGTTAAACATTCGACGAGGATCGTTTATCTCGAGCGAGTTATACTCCTTCTCCTCGTATGGACGTCGCGTCGGGCAACGTGAGTCACATATTCCTTCGAGGCACTTTGTTAGGCCGCTATAATCCCGCGGAAGGAACGCCCAGGCTTTTACACGCGCCGGCCGGATAGTTTATTACTTACTTTGTGCCTGTCCGAATCGCACCTTACACGCGACAGTATTATCCCTCGTGCGAAATAAATGGGCTCGAGGCTCGCGAAAATCGCACGCACGGAATGGAATTTTCATTCGAATCGCGTTGCCGGATCTAGATCGAACTGGATCCGGATCGCTGATTCAGCCTGGTGAATCATTTTTTGCTACGTGTTTTCGCCTGAAAATTTGGGTCGATCAAAATAGCTGTCGCGACTTTTGTTAAAAATATGATAATGCGCTTACAATTATTCCCTTATATAATTCCGTTCAACGCTTTTAATTTTGCTCTTTAGCAAAAATTGATAAACATCGATTTTTATTAAAGCTTGTTAATATGTCTTTGCTATTAAAAAGAATAATTAGTGTATTGGATAAATGCTGTCGCATTCTCTTTTTCTTCTTTCTGTATTATTATTATTATCATTATTTGATATACGATGTCGTATCGACGTAAGGAACGTAAGTTAGATGTAAGTTAGATTATTGCAAATTAAAAATTATTTTATATACTTTATTACTTTTGACACACAGAGTGGCGGTGGTGACGAGTCCGACGAAGACACGCAATGCGCCTTGAGCGAAAAATGGACTTTTGAGAAGAAGACGAGACGCTGGTCCCGCATAGGCGACGTCACAGCGGCGAATGTCGAGAGGCTGCAGGCGATCGCCGGGCAGAACGCCGCTTCCGAGGACGACTCTCTCGAGGATCGTCTCGAGGCCGAAGAAGCGGAGGACACCATGTTGGAGAACCTGCGGTACGGCAGTCTGCCGCCGGGGACTCTTCCCGATGAGATCGGCCCGCGATTTCGCAGGACCGGCTCGGAGAGACTGAGGGACGGCGCGAAAGCCTTCCTGAGGCGCGTAGAGTCCCTGAAGTCGCGGCGGCGAAAGCGCCAGAATCGCGACGGGGTGGTGATCAGCGGGCCTCAGGTGCTCGACGTGATGTCCATGCAGCAGAAGATGAAGGAGCTGAACTGCGTCGACGTGTCGCCCACGGGGCCGGCGCCGGTGCCCTTCAACGATCTCCTGTCGGCTTCACCTCTACAGATCCCCGGCTCGCCGGTCACCCTGCCGGCCTCCCCTTATCATCTGCCGCCGTCGCCGCTGGCGAACGCGCCTAGCCCCTTCGGCGACGATTCCTCCAGCTACTGTTCGGACGGTTCGCAAGGCGGCGGACCGACGCCAACGCCAACCCGCACGAAGATGAATCGCGCCCGTCGATTTCTACATCGCGGCAGGGAAGATCAGGGCGCCCTGAGCGACTCTGAATGCCAGCCGACCAACTGGCGACACCGATACTTCCGTGATGCTAACAGTAACCACGCGAAGGTGCTAGAATTCGTCAACGTGCGATCCCAAAGTTCCAAGGAATCGCCGGCGAAGAGTGCGCCCATTAACACCCGAGGCGGTAGCTTGAACCTGGGCAAGGAGTCGCAGAGGTATCGGGAGAAGCTCGCCCAGAGCAAAGAGGACAAGCCAGCGTCTTCAAAACGGGAGGATAAAATGCGCAAAAGTTTTCGACACCGTGACGACTCACATAGGGACAAGTCGCTGTCCAAGGAGGTGACAGTTTATCGGGAAAAATCCAGATCTAGGAGCTCCGAATTGGCGGGTAGTCAGGAAAGCGGCTCCACTGTGGCTAGTAGAGATTCGGAACCAGAGGAGGAGTCACCAAGGCACAAGGGCACCGTTGTCAGGTGGCATAGCTTCCAGAGAGGATCACTCTATCCCGAACCCTTGGACCCATTGTGTCCCAGAGCAATGGCTTCCATGTCATGCGGGCAACTTTTAGTCCTGAGAAAGCTAGCGTTGCTGAAACTTACAGCATGCATGGAACGGTACTGTCCGACTCATCGTACTGGCTGGAACTGGGAACTTCCAAAATTTATCAGGAAAATCAAGTCGCCTGATTACAAAGACAAAACAGTTTTCGGAGTACCGCTCTTGTTGTCTCTACAGAGAACTGGTCAAGCTTTACCTAAGTGTATCCAGATTGCCCTGAGATGGCTGAGAGCCAACGCTCTGGATCAAGTGGGCATCTTTAGAAAAAGTGGCGTCAAATCGAGGATACAAAAGCTGAAAGTCATGACAGAGACCCAGGGAGACAATATCAATTTCGACGGACAGCAAGCGTTTGACGTCGCCGATCTTGTCAAACAATATTTTAGGGAACTGCCGGAAGCTCTGCTGACGAACAAACTTTCGGAGACGTTCATTGCCATCTTTCAACGTGAGTTTGCGCGATTTGTGCTAGCTTGTTTTCTAAGTTCGTAAATTATCCTTCCTCAGTCCTATTACTCGTGTCCGAGCGTAGTGATCTCTCTCATATACCTGTGTACGCACGATGATTATACGCAGGTATATTGGGACCTACAGTTTAACGTCGGTTCCGACAAATTTTTGATAGAGAGACGTTCATGGCAAAGTTATTCTTGACGATTTGCTATTGCTTTTCGAGAGGAGACGAGCGTAAATATTTTGGCTCTGCCGGGAATTGAACCCGGGACCTTTAATATAATAGACCAGTGCGCTGTCTATTATGCCACGCTCTCAATCTAATAAATCTAATAATTTCGTAAATTATACGAAAAAAAATATAACTTTGAAATGATCCCATTCTTCTTACAGATGTACCAGTGGAATTGCGACCCGATGCTGTGCAGTGCGTCTTATTGCTGCTCCCGGACGAACATCGCGAAGCGTTGGAGACTCTGCTCGACTTTCTCAATCATGTCGCCAGCAATTCGCCCTACAATCAAATGACAGCCTCGAATCTGGCTGTGTGTCTAGCTCCGAGTTTGTTCCATTTCAATCACAGCAACACGAACGTGACCAACAGGTCGAGCAGCGTGTCGCCACGTAGACGAAAGACGGTGGGCATTCCCGATCAGCGAGAACTTTCAGAAAACAAAGCTGCTCACGACTGTCTTTTGTATCTGATCAAGATGCATCGTGAATTATTCATGGTGAGTGCCGAAGCGTCGTTATTCATTGATCGCGATCATTCCGTTCGATTCCAAACGCGAACGAATGGGAAAGGCACGGCTTATACCTCTTCCGATGCTTTCAGGTCTCATCGGACATGCTGACGCAGTGTCACTTTAATTACATGGAAGAGAGCATTCCGGTCGCATTGGAGGAACTCGGCTCGGAACTGAAGCAGGATTGGAGGGGTTACTTGTACGCCTGTACCACGGCGTTGTTGAAGGAAGCGCGAGAAAAGTGAATACATATCATTATATTATTTTATTAGCGAATAAAATTAATATTTCATGTAAAGTAGATGCGAGTAAGTAGATAACAATTTTTTAATTAAATGCGTATATTTCCAAATAGACGAGTATGAATAAGAGAAAGAATTTTAAAAAATACAGTGTTAAATCTGATCCAAGCAAAAAAGTAAAACAAATTAGATTAATAGAGAAGACACACACTAAACAGAGATTGCAATTTATTCCAGCAGAAGTCGCGGTTGGGTCACGATAAACAATCCTGCCGACAATACTGTAGAAATGGCATACAAGAAAGTTGGTGATGGACACCCGCTTCGTCTCTGGCGAGTGTCAACTGAAGTCGAAGCTCCGCCAAACGAACTGTTACATCGTGTGCTAAGAGAAAGACACATTTGGGATCCACAACTATTAAAATATAGACTGGTAACCAAATTGGACACCAATGTAGAGGTCTTCCAATATGCTACTGGAAACATGAGTCCGCTGCCCGCTCGAGATTATTGTGTATTGAGGTGAGCTTATGTTATTTGTCGTGAAAAATCAAATTTATAATTTTTTATTTATAAAAACATATGAATAAATATACTTCAATATGATTTGTAATGCTTTTCTAATAAATATTTTTTATAAACTTTGATTGTTAAGGATGTTTACAGATTCTAATTAATTTAATCTTCATAGATCTTGGAGAAACGATCTTCCTAAAGGTGCTTGTGTCATTGTCGAAACATCGGTGGAACATCCAGATGCTCCTGTCATGCTTGGTGGAACTCGTGGCATTGTTTTGGCCTCTCGTTATCTTATCGAACCATGTGGCAGCGGCAAATCCCGCATAATGCATTTATCCAGAGTCGATACGAAGTAAGTACTAGTATTTTCTTCTAAGGCAAAGACATTTTATCATTAATTTCCAACATTCGCTTAGAAATATCTTACAAAATAAGTTATTTATTTTTACTTGTTTAAAATTATTTCTAAATGGAATAATTTGTTTTCAGAGGTCGCACACCTGACTGGTACAACAAAAGCTACGGACACATCGCTGCTCTTCATCTAAGTAAAATTCGCAATTCTTTTAAGCATACCACCGATGGACCCGAAAGTAAAGTTTGAGAGCAGGATACCGTGCAACAATCGTTGCACGGTTCTTCTTTTTCTTCCTCTTCTTCATCCTCTTCCACTCCTTCTTCCTCTTCTACTCTGCAAGTACCCGACGAGCAGCAATATGACCACAGGGTCCTAAAAGACCTACTACAAGTCCAGCCTACCATCGACGAGGAATAATCTCGATCGATCGCGCGATCAGTAGCCAAAACCCACCGATGTCGTAGTTAGCTTCGTTCAGCAATCGTTTTTGAGATAAGCAACCTGTTTTGTCGTATAGTAGTAGAAGAATCCTCCGTATGACGTTTACTATCCAAAGATCTTGCCGTCCGTTTATCATGAAAGTTGCAAGAAACAGAACGTGAAGAAAGAGAATGGATCTCATCCAGCGAATTTAATGATACAAATGGCTCACGTGTGTCTTGATAAATCAGGATATAAAGAACTATTCGTTATTTTTGCAATTTCAATGTTGTTGTTGTTGTTGTTCGAGAGTGTGTAAATTTTATCAAATCCTGATCAGGGTTGAGCGCGATCCTTGAAATCACGTCTTGCTGCAATTTTTTAATCTGATTGCATTTTAATGCTGAAAGATGAAACACGATCGATAAACGCTTCTGATTGCGAGATAGAAGACGAACGTCATTCGGTGTTTTCGACGACTATGTGTATGTGTTTATATGAGAATAGCGACTCCATGGGTTTATTCTGTACCGTAGCAAGTATCATATCTTCGATAAAAATAAGATAGAAGGTACGCTGAGACACGACCAAGATAAAAGATGATATTAACAATATTTTCTCATAATCATATCTTAATCGATAAAAGTTCCTGATTGATAAAGAGTTACTGTTTCGAGTTTTGCACATTATAATACATTTACAAAGCTGAGTATTTTTTTTTTTAATATTTCTTTTTTAGTGCAGTGGAAATTAATTATTGAACTTTATGCCAAATATTTTTTTATTTTGTAACTGAAAAAATTTTAAATTGAACAAATGATTCTTCGGGGACCGAGCTTCATAATAACATGCTATATAAAATCATTTAATCTCGTACAATGCACCAACCAATTATAGCGATTAGTTATAAACGAAGCCATCTAAGTTGACAGTGTTCGTATGCGCCCATTTGCAATGACGATGTTGATCGAATGTTTCCGTCAGGCTCCTAAAAATGGGACGAAGCCTAGATAGGGTACTTGAGGATACACATTTCATGCATTTTATATTTTTCTTTCGGACCAAATGCCAATTTTTCTATCATAGCATATATTGCATTAATGTAGTTGACATTCGTCTCGGTTGAGGAATTTTCTTCCTCTCATATAAGTATCGTCGTACGTAGACGAACGAATATGTAAATGTCGCGTACGCATGTACACGTGTGTCTATTTATAAATGTGCTCTTATAAGCACGTGTTTGTTATATGTAAAAGAGAGAACTACGTCATTTCAATGTCGGAGCTATACGATGCACTGCTACGTCGTTTAAATTGTTGTGCAAAAAAATAAAATACTGAGGGTTTAGTCAAGCAGAAATAGCTTATGACTGCAATTTTTCAAGAAAGAAATTTCTTTTACGTTGCGTATTGTTTTTTATTACGGCATTAAATATACTATTATTTTATTCTTTTAACTTACAATCATGATGAAATATTTGAAATTAGTTTATTTTTATGAAACTAAAAATATACTATATGTTGCAACTTTTATAAATAAACCAGTACACCGTGTAGCTCTGCTCATTATTATAGATTTACCGCTGAGGACACAATCGCCTCGGCTGTTCGAGCAATGCGAAAGGATTTTGAGTAAGCTTCTAAATCTCGTTGTTCCATCATGCGGATGGCAAGCGACTCCACTCAACATAAGCAATTATCATTGTTACTCGTATCGATGTTAAGAATTAAAATTAAAGATATTTGTTTTCGCCGTGTTTGTTTGAAATTATCGCGAGCCGATAATTGCGCTTGCAAATCTAAGACGCGCATTTAGGATGTTTAATTGTTCAACATGTTTGTATGCAATAATTATTATAGGGACCATCTCGTGGACATAACAAATAACTGGAACAAAATGTTAACCTGAGATGAGAACAACAAAAATGTAAAGAACTATGTTGAGATTTCCAACATGCGCGTCACTCAATGGGAGCATGATGTGCAACAATCGCAACAAAACTTTATTTGATGTGAAATGAAACGGATAAAATTATCAATAATTTGTTACGTCCACGGATCACCTTTGTTTGAACCCCAAACAGAAAATGACCTGCGTAAGATGCACCTCATCGAATCGAAACTCTAAATGTATTTTAACGTAATACTAGTCACTTACATTATAGCCGAGAGTTATGAATTACGACATAGATTTTTATTGTGCAGCGATTGCGCCGAGAATATTTAAAATATTAATTGCTACTATATATATTATATCTCGACGTTAAGTAATCATACAAATATATCATATTTTTGTGTCAAAAACGCCAGTAGAAGCGCGACGACTGAAATAGAGATCCATCGTCAGCGTTTCTTAATATTTGTAACGATATATGAACGTCTTTATTCTTGTAATCCGTGTTCCACTAGAATGTAAATATGTATATTATATAATAATGAACAACACAGAGAGTATACTCATTAAGTAATATCTTCCTATTCTTATCGATTTGCTTTTATTGCTCCCTTTTATCTTTAGTTGTTTGATGCTAGTTATTCTCATATTTTTAAGCCGGTTATCACACAATATACAATGCTTACAAAATATATGAACTTTTCATTCCAATTTCTCTTACATTGATAGCTAGCTATATTCGCATTGTTTAGTCGATAACTCGTGTTGCCATGGAAGATGCATCCTGACATTCAAGCTACTTTTGTTGGGTGGATATATGTTAGATATATTTAGTTTCTCGTGACAATCCAATGATGCACCTAACAGAATTCATTTCAACTCTCAAATCAAATTTCTAACCATAATATATAACCATAATATAACCATAATACATTCATCTTCAATAAAAAAAAAAAAAACAACGCAAGTTAACGAAGATATAAATCGCGACTTGATACATTAATTTTATATCAGAAATCTCAATTTTAATTGAAAATCTTAATTCGGTGAAAATGGTGAGATTGCACGTGAAGAAAGGTGATGACAGCCAATTTTTATATGACACTCACCTAGAGGCGCACGTGGACGATGTTGTACGTGACATCACAGTGATTTACAACGGTCGTTTGAAGATTTCAAGAATTTGTTATGGTAAATTTGTTTTATATTCTTTTTTGCAAAAATAGTTAGTTATTCTGAATATCTCAAAAAAATTAAATAACCTTTTGAAAATTTGGAATTATGTTGGAGTTATTTTAAAGAACCATAAATAGTAGTTTAAGAAATAAATACGAAGAAAAATTATTTCCTTTAGTTTTATTCATCTCAGATTTAATGGTACACATGAGATTTTGAAATATACACAGTCTTAAATATCGGTATCTTCTTACATGGAATATATTTGCATGGAATATATTTGCAATAAAGCTGTAGAGGATATAAAACAGAGTGACTAAGCGACGAGTAAGCACCAACAAAGGCAGCACCGATTGCTTCTTATGATTTTTTTTTTGTGGCCCTGGCCTCGCAGTTGGAATATTAACGCGAGAAATTCATTAGTGATTATCTCTTCGGGGCATACCCGCGGCTAGTAATAACAGCATGTAATAAGAAGTCGAGGTCTGAGTTTATGAATCCATCTATCCCGGGCATCGTGTGATATTAGTCACGCAGGATAATTATACGGACTTACACTTGACCGGTCGCTCTTCACTCTCTCACGGGTATCTCTTTCGCGAAAAATAGAGATCGAGGAGCTGGCTAAGCATGGCGTGATGTTACCACCTGACATAATGGGCCTCACAAATGAGCAGGTCGAGGAGCTCAAACTCAAGGACGAATGGGCTGACAAGTGCGTGCCCATGGGCGGTTGGACTTTTAACAGAGACAATATCGGTAATTACGCAACATTCTGTGTGCAACAGATAATGAGTCTTACTATAGAAAAAAATAAACACCTTAACATAATATAAAGCCATAAATCTTTCGAAAGTTTTAGTTTAAAGGATGGAAAAGTAATTAATAAAAAAGACAGAAATATGTGACGCACTTGTATCTTCTTAATATTAATATTAATAAAAATTAATTTTTATTTACAAAATTGATTATCTTCGATTATCTTCTATCTCCTTTTATATTCATCTCGATGATATAAATTTTACGCTACTAAAATTATACATATGTTTTATCTTGATATTTCTATTACGGTTCACATTTTCGGCTTACACTTTAATAATTTAAACTTTAATAATTTAAAAACTTGGAAATGATTATCACAAGATTATCATTATATTTTAATATTTTGCAATGAGAGTCTTATTATATCGTGCAAAAGTTGCATGAAGTATTTCAATCAAATGTCTTACTTCAGTTCTAAGCATGCTTTCGAAGGATAAAATTTTATTAATATATAAATAAATTGGAGATTGCATTTGAAACTAAACACATTTACATGATAAATTGAGACTAAGTTTAGATAAATACAGGCCGTAGAAATGGTAGACAGCCGAACGAGAAAATGCAGGAGGTATTGAAAAAAACTATCGAGGACGCCCGTGCCATGACGTCGAAGGTAAATATAAATTAATTTCTTCTCTCTCTATTTTAATCTTTCTTTTTCTGTTTAATTTATTGTTAATTGTTTTGCACAATTGCAGAAATTAGTACAACAAGAGAAATTAGTTACCCAAAAGATTGTCCAAGAAGCCTTGGATTTATTAAGAGGCGCCGTGACTATCGTCTATCCAATGGGACTTCCGCCACATGACGTGATACGTAAAGAGTTTGAAAATACCGAAGATCTTACTGGTACTCAAGCATCTCTCGAGGTACATGCTATATTTTGTAAATTAATACTTAATATAGTAACATAAGATAATTGAAAGAAAGTATCATTTAAAAGTATCCTAATTTAACAATTTTTTCTTAAATATTATACATTATCTATTGTTGCTTAAATATTTAGATGTTTTACAGATTTTTAAAAAATTCCAGCAATGAAAAACAATTTTAAAATTTTTGTATTGTTTGTCAAAAAATCAAGCAAGCCGAAGATTGGCGACATCTTTATTGACATTGGAAAAACGTGCATTTGTTGCAGATAATCGATGTGCAATTGGCTCAACTATGGTTTTCCGGGAAAGAGTTATTATCCGGAAAAAAGATGAAGGACTTTCTGGGTAATAACGAGAAGACCAAAGTGATTGTAAAACTGCAGAAGAGAGGATCTGGAAAACCGGCGAGAGAGCCATTGATGTCGGAAGATGAACGGAAACAATTGATGTTGCACGCGTATCGTCGTCAAGAGCAACTGAAGGTAAGCGTTTCTTCATATACATCGACGATGAACATCTCTCGTGATTCATCCAAAGTAGTATATATTTTTTTAATTATTATACTGTAAATAAAATCTATAATGTAAGAACATATATTGACGCGTCTGGATTTCAAAGAAGTTGGATGAATTATCGGGTAACGTCGACATTAACAACAAATGGTTTTAGTCGAGTTTAACGCGTTCTGTTTTATCCTCATTCAAAAATCAATAAAGACGAGTATAAGTTAGAAGTAAAAATAATTACCGGGATTTTATAAATTATACGTCAATCAAAGAAAACAATTGATGTTGTAACCTGCATTGCATCTCAAGAAATAAGAAAAAGTAAAAAAGATTGCCACTCTTCGAGGTGAGACTTCAGTGAGTGAGAAATGCGCCTCTAAACCTTCTCCATTGATCCACGTGCTTAGGAAAAGATAGTACATATCTATTGATCACACGCGTGTCCTCTGCACGTCCTATTCGAAGTAGGGTAGCTTATTTCAGAAACAGCTCGCGGGCTCGTTTAAGTTGATAGTAGATCTTTCGAGTCTTGTTGACACGTGCCGCCTTCGCGAATTATCTCTTACGAATGAGTAATTTAATATCGTTCTACATCGACTAAATCTAGTTTTAGACAAGTAGACAATTCAATTCGCAATTTAATTTAAATAATGTATTCATCTTAATAAAAAGTGACAGTTTATTTTATAACATAAGCGCGCATTATTAAATGTTTCTATCTATTGATTATTTCTATTTATATTAAAAAACGAAGGTATTATTTTTAAAATTATTGAACTTTTTGAACGTAGCAATTAATTATAATCTAATCAATACTTAAGAATATTTGCAAATTATTTTGTATTGCTTTACGTAGAAATTTTTGGTATTCCAGCAATTTAAATATATATTATAAATATATAAATATATTATAAATATATTATAAATATATATTAAATATATATATTAAGATAAATATATGATATATAATATAATGCATAATATAATGCATATTAAATTAGTGTTATGGAGACAGTGGGCAGAGGTTAATGAGTAGGTATAATGAACTCGTAGAAGCAATGTTCCAATTCCATTGTTTCCATTATCAATCTGAAGCAAATAGCTTCCAAGTGCGACTTCCATACGACTTATAGCGTGTAAAAATCAATAATCGATTAAGAGGAAAAATGTTTCAAGATCATCTATTTTTTATTTAATCCATTTCTACCATGCTAAAGTATGGATGAACAAACATCTCTTTGTAGACAGCAACAGGTATGCTAATATTGCCAAACGTTTGCTTGATCGAATAATATTCTGTTAAGGGGGTCAATTAAACAAATTGCTTTTAAAAAATTTGTCTTTGTATTAAAAAATATGTAGAAATATATTTAAAAATCCATTTTTCCAAATTTAGAAATCTTTTATAGTTTGTTATATAAAATCAATAATTTATATAATGAATAAATATAAATATCTATATAAAACATATAAATTACTGATAATAAAACTGATAATAATAATAATAATATTATTAATAATTGTTGTTATTATATAACAATAACAAAAATATTTAAATATGAAAAATTAATATTTATGCACATTTAAAAAAAATTATTTAATTTCGATAAAAGTTCTCCAACTTGCTGATTAATCAGAGAAAAAGATATTGTCTTAGGTATTTTCATAATTTATTGTTTCATCGAGGCTAAATCGTATTGATAAATGGACATAGCAGAAACTAACGTCGTTCTTATAACTATATAATTCATGAAATGCGATTGCTTCTTGGTACTTTGTACTTTGTTCTGTTTTAAAAAATTTAAATAAGTAAAACATTCTCATTTAGGATGTTATTAAGAATTACTGCGTTGGTCTAGTCGACGTGCTGCATAGGGAATTGCGTCTGTGAATCTTCATGACGTCTCGTTTGTTCTTTCCAGAAGATCGACAGAAAGAGGTTGCAATATTTGTTGTAAACGTAATTTGTTCAGTTTGTCCAATGAAGCACCCCTAAGACGTTTTCCCTTGCTAGAGAACGAAAATGGAATTTCTATCACGCTCGAATTCTCAGAAGAAATTTTTTTTATCGTAATGCTGCGATATATCTTGATTTAATGTAACGATCGGTGTTATCCGACTACGAGACAATTGGTTTCTCTGTAGTCGATATATCTACAAAAGAACATATATACTATTGCGTAACGTGACGAACATATCCACACCCCTTCATCATTTTTATAGAACTCTATATCTTTTATAACTTTATTTTAATTACTTTTATAACTTTAAATTGATTATTTGTTATTTTTTTAAAAATATGATTGTTGGGTGTAGTAGCAGACGCGATAAAAACATCGATATTAGCCGGCCATTTCTATGAAATGAATTAATAATACATAAAAGGTACAGTTTTTTTTTATCAATATTTATTGTCTACCGGAAACTCACCGACCCAAACAACTTCTTTTTGTTTTTTACGATAATTTGCTCGTGGTCGTTTCTTCATTTCGTGTTATTCGCTGGTTGGTTGTCCTATCACGTAATGCGGTCATCCAACCTGAAAGCTTCCATTATTTGGTCACATTTTTATGTTTATCTAAGACTTTCCATTAACATCAAACCATCAAACGAGCTTTCTACGATGTGTACTAGGAATAAACGAGGGATACTATCTTCTAGTTTTCTTCCCGTCTCTCTCTCTCTCTCTCTCTCTCTCTCTCTCTCTCTCTCTCTCTCTCTCTTCTCTCCTTTTGTCTCTCTTTTCTCGTCGTACATTGCAAACAATCTCACAGCTATGTAGAGTAGTAATGAATGTGTAATCGTGCCTGTATTATGAAGAGTCCTTTAAATGTCGAGCGACGAGCTACACGATTGACGCAAGAACGCACTCGATTTTGATCAGCAGCATACTACGAATCTGGGTCAATGACAATTCAGTTTCACATTTGTTTTTATCATAGCGACACGACCGCATTTTGCATTCGGTTTGACGATAGAAATTACAGGATAGAATGTTTGAAGAATGAAAGCTAGTTGCGGCGATGATCGATGGTTCTTGTCCAGATCATATATATATCTAGATGTCACAATATTAATGCAAGTTACTTTTTCCAAATGTACAAATTACAGTTTACTCCAGTATATTCAAATCAAAATATACACGATATTATGATTATAATATAATAATCCTAACCAAATGCAAAGAATATATATTTCTCAAAAAAAAAAAAAATCGAGCCATAAGGAGATTTCATTTTAGAGGCGGCAGTTCGATCTCTGTTTTCGAGAGAAAATTTTTCAGGCGCTCTGCAATTTCGTGCAAGGGAGTAGAATTATATTCGTTGCGCCAAGGTCAGAAAATGTTCCTCGCGGTAGATTAATTTGCATGGGCAATATTACAAGCGAATGGCAGATATGAGAAGCATTTCGTTCTTGCGCAGCAGGACCTTCGAGTGATGCCTTCGGCACGAAGTGCTTCGCGGCACGCAAGGTGCGCCAATATTATTTTATACGATCTTCAATGAGATGTGCACATCGCACTTTTGTCCCGGAGGGAATTCTTAAAAGGCAAAAAGTTTCGACGTTTCCATTATTCCATTATTACGCGGAAGATATGTATATTCAATGACGGTTCTTTTTTTTTTTCTAATTGTCCCATTTTCCGTATCGCATTTTACAATCGCGCGAACACGCAACGTTTGTTGTGGACTGTTCATGAAGGTAATTTTGAATGAATTAATTATACTTTGAACGGAAGATACATTTAGATATGCGAAGGAGAATACGCTAATTTGCACATGAGGAAAATTTAGTAAAAAAAGAAGAAAATGATATTTTACAGTCGGCACATTTATTTATGTCGTAAATGTATATTGACATAAAGATATACTACAGAAATATATCGTTTCTGTACATATATGA